GATGTTTGAGGCATGGAATGCCAGCTAGGAGAGAAGACGGTAGCTGTACTGTACCGGGGCATAGAACGTGGTGGGTTGAAGAGGCGGGAAGTGATGTCGATTGGAGGATAGGCCAGGGAAAACACTTTTGAGACACCTTTTATGGTAAAGTAGGAGGGAACGATTGGCCATCGGCCTTTGGTCCTGTGGGAACGATACTCCATCCTCTCGAGGACGCGTGGTCAATGATCTGACCACTAAGACATGCACAACATAGGAGTACGCCCCCCACCCCCCCTCCGCACCAGTCTTATTTGAAACGGAGATCCTCCTCCTCGTCGCTGATCTGAAACTGCCGATGGGTGGGGTCACCGGACACCCCGTGAGTCACCACTCACCACCTTCATGAGTTCTCATCTTGCAGTTGCCACTTTTGGAGGTCTGTTCTTATCCGTAAGCGCTTTGGTACAACACAATAATACGGGTTCTTGTTCTTAATACCACGTCGGAACTGAGCACACGTGTTACTATGGCCAAGTTCTTAAATGTTGGATTTTTCGAAGCTGCATTTCTTAACTGCTAATTTCTTAAGTGCGAGCGCCACGTGTACACTGGAAACGCAAGGTCCTAGAGGGTTCAAGGAGAAGATGTCTGTTGCTTTTGCCGAAAGAGAAGAACTTAGCCTAACCAAAGACACCAAGGATAAGGAGGGTCTGCATGTGAACGGAATGTTGAAAGATGGAACAGATTTAAGGGGTACCTTCTGCATGGACCAATGGACATAGGGACATAGCTGAAAGTCAAAGTTAGGACTGGGGACATTTGCGTTCGAGAACCTAGACGAAGATTTGGGAACGTAGACGATAAAGACGACAAATCTACATGCAACTGCGGCTCCGAGTGCGAAGACCATGTTCACGTAGTTGTGGAGTGTCCGTTGTACAAGAAGAGGGAAGCGCACATGAGTGAGCTGGGAAAAGTACAAGGAAAATGTAAGAGGCATGTTTGAGGCATGGAATAGTCAGGAGAAGACGGTAGCTGCACTGGGGCATAGGAAATTGGTTGAAAGGTGGGAACTGATATCGATAGGATAGATTGACTAGGGAAAACCCTTTTGAGCCACCTTTTTAGGAAAGTAGGATTGAACGATTGGTCATCGGTGATCGGTCCTGTGGGAACAATGCTGCGTCCTGTCGAGGACGCGTGATCAATGGGCAACCCGCTAAGGCATCCAAAAATGAGAGAGAGAGAGTACGCCCCCCCTTCGGATCCAACTATTGCGATCGTGAAGAGGCGTGAAAGGAAGCTTTACATGGCAAGAAGTACCACATGGTGAACGATATGGGACAGGAGAGGTTACCGAGAGAAGCTCGGGAGTTGGAGTGGACAAACAAGACTAGGGGTAAACAACCCAGGGAGTGGATTATGGTTAACGGTTGTAGAACGGAATACTTCAAAATCGATGAAGTTGATACATTGGAAACGAACGGTATAGATCTGTAGTCTAGGGTTTCGAGGACAAGAAATCTGCTACTTTGCCGAGAGAGAACACAATCTGGCAAAAGGATGCAATGATAAGGAGGGTCTAGATGTGTACGGATAGAGAGAGAGAGAAAAGGTCCCCGCAGTTTTCTGATTGGTCAATTTTTTTGAAAGGAAATTTCCTGTGGACGAAAATTCCATGGTCGACCGATGACGTCAGCCACGGTTGTGAGGTCGCCTTTTCGGGGAAACTCGAAAAATTCAATTTCTCCGTGATTGACTGATTGGTCTGATTGGTCTGATTGATGACGCCCGACTTTCACGGGAAATCGCCGACCACACTTTCTTGTGTCCTGGAGGAACGCATTTCCTACCGGCTGCTCCGAGCCACTCTTAGGCTGGGTGGTATTGAACCCACCATCCCCGCCCCTTTTCTTGTGATTTTTTTTGCCGCACCCACACGACGGACGGACGGTCTTTGAAAAAAAAAGAGAGCTGCGACAAATCTTGACGGGAAACAATCGTCTCCAGGAAACACCCACACGCTCACAACTACATCCTTCGCTCACAGGAGAAGAGACATTTTCTACAGTACAATCGCGTCTTCACCACACGGAGTAATCGAGAGACAGATATATTATTGTGATCAGTCAACGGTGCCACCACCGTGGTTGACGCTTCGTGTAAAAAAAGAGAAAAATTATGTTGGCTCATTTCAAAGAGAGGATGGCACGGGCATCCACGGCAGCTGTATCATCACCACATGCCACCAGCTACCGGTGGTGCTACGTGGAGCAGGTAGACCAGGCCGCTCCCCTCGCAGGCAGGAGCAACGGGTGGCGGCACATGGGGCCTGAAGGGATCACCTATAGGCGCCAGGCAGTCTTCGGCACGGGGTTNTGGCGGTACTTGGGGCCTGGAGGGATCACCTATAGGCGCCAGGCCGTCTTCGGCACGGGGTTTAGGGTTCGTATCTCCTTCCCTTCCTCGCCGGGGCCGGGATACAGGTGGTTCCACTCGCACCCCCTCGGAGGAGATCCCAACCTGTACAATTTTCAAACTTGGACGAGGACGGTGCTGCAGAGAGGCATGGTCCACCCGCGTGACGCCGAGGCTTGGCGCACGGCGTTTGTAGATGTAGAGGGTGGTGGCCTTGGACAGCTGGTTGTGTCAGCGGCCGACGAGAGCTGGCGAGTGATCCTCTGCTGGGCGTCAGCTGGCAGGGAGATCGAAGTCGACACCCAGGGCATCCCGATCTCTCTTGTGAACCTCCAGGTCCAATCTGGTGTCGACTCACAGAGCCCTTTTTTCAGACAGCTTAACATAGCGACCTTCGGGCACAGAGTTGTGAGATATGCCCCCATCACCGCATTCGGCAAAAAATGGCAGAAACAGCTTGCTCTCTCTCTGAAGGAGTAGGTACCTACATGGACCAATGGACGGGAACAAAGCCGAAGGTAAAAACCAGGACTGGGGACAACGGCCTTTGAAAATGTGGACGAAGCTTCGGGAAGGAAGACACTGAAGACGACAAGTTCAAGTAAATGAGCATGTGGCTCCGAGTGCGAAGACCGGTTTTATGTCGTTGCGAAACGTCCTTGTTGGGCGACAAGGGTAGAGAACTGTACATGACTGTGTTGAACAGATAAAAGGAAAGCTACAGGAATATGCTTGAGGCATGGAATCGCCAGGAGAAGACGGTAGCTGTACTGGGGCATAGCAAGTGGATTGAAAGGCGGGACGTGGTATCGAAATAGAATAGAGAAGACATATTGAGCCACCTTGGGCAAAGTACTTTGAAGTATATAGGAGGGAATGATGGACATCGTTCGGTGATCGTTCCTGTGGGCACAATGATGCGTCCTCTCGAGAACGTGTGGTCAATGGTCTAACCTCTAAGGCGTGCGAAACATGAGAGAGAGTACGCCCTATACCTTCTGGCGTCAGGATATCACGAGGTCCTCTGCCCCTCCCCGCCTCGAATCTGAAACAAACTGCTGTTTGGGTCACCCCCAACCGTCCTGAGTTCTCATCTGTGTGCGCATTGGTACATAATGAGGGCAGGTTTTTGTTCTTAATGCCACGTCGGAACTGAGCACCTGTTCTTATATGACCAAGTTTTGATTTTGGGTTATTTGAGGCTCAAGTTCTTAACTCTTAAGTTCGTTCTTAAGTGGTGGCGCGTTGTGTATGGCCCCTCCGCATTTGCGGAACCTCAAGCTCAAATTGCCAGGGGAACCCCACACAAATGGGGATATGCATACGATTTCGTCTTCAACATCCACTGCGTTCGGGCCCATGCTACTAGCAAAACACCCACACTTCGCGCACAGACATTGAAAGAAAAAGAGGAACAGGTGAGGCACAACACCCCCTTGACGACCTGTGTCATGACCACTACACCAAAACAGGCTGCAATTGATGTTTGTTACAGACGTAAATGAAACTGGCTCGTCCTGTAGCGCCAGATCCGATACGCCCGTCCGCCCGCCAGTCTCTGTCTCTCTCTGTCTCTACCTCTTATTCTCTCTGTAGGTGGCCTTTCATTACTTCAATTTTTTCTGCTTGGAGACAAGCACATAAAACCAAGGGAACTATTGTCAATACAGCGTAACTGAATATTGTTCCTGTTGCACAGGCAACATATGCCACACAGAATGAACTCTACTGTAGATCTTTGTCTGCAATTCTGCCATCAACGATGAAAAAGTACGAACATGATGTACACAATGGCCGACTGGAGCAGAATTATAGCACCGATGGAGTAAATGAGAAACGCTCCTACAGTCAAGAACATACTTGCTCTCTTCTACCCCCGCAGTTTAATGCCCAATACGATCGACGGCAGCACAACACACACAACCGGAACACGCCAATATTAAAACATTGGACGAGAAAGGTGACAGCGCCAAAGAAGCTTAAGGAAGAATGTTGACAGGAGCAAGCTCAACACCAACGAAAACAGCAAGAAGAGCGAATAATGTCACAGTAGCGCGCAACCGTAGAGCTATACACGTACCTGCGGCCGTTCGCGTATCCACCCACTTCAAGCCTCGAACCATACCGTAACAACTACCCGAATAAGCGAAGGAGCGGGAATCTCGCCTGCCAGAGGGCCCTACCACGACGTGCAAAAAATAGTGTACCCACCGCGAAGGTGAACAAACAAACCAAGCAACACAGAACGAAAGCGAACAAGGGTCAGACATCACCATCGCCTTGAAAAAACACAGCCGTGCTGCCAAGGTCCGGCGGTGGTTTCCCTTGCGTAGTGCTTGTCAAAGAAATGTAGCACGATGGGAGCTACCCTGCCGGTCATTAATTCTACAACTTCGCACTTGTGCTACAAGCTCCAGCATAAACACTACCACGTTAGGTGCGTCGTGACGAAATTTATCACAGATAAAGATGAGAGGCCGGGAACAATCAAACGCACAAACTCTGAAGGCACTGGCTAAACCTAGAACACTCTCTGGACCTGGACGACATCGATCAACGTTGACACATTTGTTTCCCACCAGCGGCACATCCATGCACTGAACTTACAAAAGCAAGCGAGCGTCTCACGCCACGGCGCAAATTCGCCTGTCAAAATTAGAAGCAGCTGCGTACTACAACCAAAAGGGGTCTGGTCGACTTACGCCGCCGTTTCGAGAACACACTTCAAGACAGGGTGGCTAAAGCAATGGCCGAAAGGGGCGCCAGGACACCGTACATCAACCACACGCACAAGCTTGACCAGGCGGACACAGCTGTGCGCGCTCCATTCTGACCACTCTCTGCGTCAACTGGAGCTTCCGTGTCCCAGTACAAATCAGACGAAGTGATTTCCTCAGGCTCGGTGTACGTGTCCGCAGTATCAGAATCAGAGGTACTAAGCCCTGTTTCCCACCGGGGGGGAGTCTCAAGGACCCCGTCCGAGGACGTCGAAGACGTCGAAGAGGACCGTTCAATAGCCCCTACGCCCGTCCCCGGACTTATGGCCCCGTTCACGACAAGCGAATAGCTCTGCACGTCGGTGGTGAGGTTGTCGGCCCAGATCCATACGCTTTGGTTTTTACGTGCGAGGGGTCGAGAGGGGTCGGATACTCGATATGTCAACCGAATGCAGTTTCGGAAAAAGCGAGTTGTTTTTCGTCTTAGTCAATAAGGCAGGAAGCAAATCACGCCTTCCCTCCCCACGGCATCTCCGCAACGCTTGCGCCATATTGGATTCGTTTCGTATGAAGCACATACCTCCAGGTTCCTGTCTCCACATCACCCGCGTCCACGATCACCCGCTCGTTGACGTTCGCCGAGTCCGTCACCCCCGAGGCCCACATGGTGTATCTCGTGCCGTTCGGGGAAATGACGACCAGATCTAGGTCGTGCACCAGCTGCACCGCCGAAAATGTGGTGGCAGGCGGGTCGAGCCACGACAACGTGACACGCAAGTCCAGGCGAGCGGTGGCGTTCACGTCGAAGTTGTATTCCTGGCGAGTGCGCTCCGGGATCGAGGTGTAGTTGGAGTCTGACACGAAGAGGGCCAAGCTTCCCTCTCCTCTTAGTGGCATCCCTGCCTCGAGGTGGATGCGCCCGAAGCCGCGAGAGCCATCTGGCTCGCTGCTCCCTCCCATCAGGTTCGCGCTGTTGATCATCAACGCCTTGGGAGAGAGGAGTCACAGGGGGCATTCGGCGGAAGGAACGGAGACAGGGAGTGAGAGGGAGAGGGAGAAAGAGAACGGCAGACAGACAGACAGACCAGGAGAGGAACAGAGAGGACGAGAGACAGAGCGCGGTGAGGGTGAAGACATGAAGAGATGGACAACGGAAGAAAGCCAGCAACAACGAAGCCTTGGCAGCAAGTATAATGCACATTTGTCAGCGTTGAATAAAGAAGTGGGGACATCGTACAAAGCCCCACGAAACATCCGTCTTTTAGCGCATGGCACACTCGGGGCGCATGCAGCGCACGACTGACACGCCTGGGCGACGATGGCTGCGTGCATTGCCCTAGCCCATCCAAGCGGAACCCTTCATTGGGAATGGCCTCTCGTCGTTTGTCGGTTGAACCAGCAGCGTCGTCTGCGCAGCGTCACCGGAAAAGGAGGTTGATCCCCGCGTTTTATCGCCAAAATCAATACTCCGAGTACGTATGTAAACAGCACACGACTCTGGGCAGGGCTCTCTAGCTCCGCCACAAGACCGTGCTCGTTTCCAAACGATGAATCTTCCGAGATCCCTTGGTGTCATGTCTCCAAGATCCACCCTTTTCGGGACGATCACCGTGTGCGCGCGCATGAAGACAAAAGAGCGCGGAAAATCGACCGAGTGGGTGTGATCCGCTGCGCAGCAAGCGCAACTTGTAGGGTCTTCCTCACCTTTAGCGTTGCGGAAGAAGGCGAGAAGGCCTCGCAACCCGCCCACTCATCGCAGAACCCCCTGGCCGTCATGTCCGTGGCGAAAAACGTCTCGTTCATGAAGTACTGCCTGATCTAAGAGGCAAAAAAGCAATACAAAGGGCCGAGAAAAACTGTTCACTAGTGGACTTTCGACGCTTTCACTGCACAAAGAACGCATGGAACACGCAACATGGAGGCAATTGCTGTTGTTGCCCTTTCGCCGTAACCGACAATTTCTTCACTCATGCCTCCTGTTCGACAAAACAAAGAACATCGTCACTGTATTGAGCTTCTATCATCAGGACCATAGCAGAGTACCCCGCTAGGTTGTGCTGCTTCATAATCATAGTCGCAGACTGGGTGCAATCATGTTCTAAAACAACACGATTCGCCTTAATCAGTGGCAAGTAGTTCAGGATACGCTCGTATGCTTGGCGAAACACCAGAAGTGAATCAAACGGGAGCAAAGAAACAACGTGTCTAGCAGCACTTTTCCGCCACATGAGCAAAGAACACGAAACACTCTGTGCTCCCCCCTTACCATTGCCGATGCTCCGGCAACAATCGGGGTGGACATGGACGTCCCGGCGTACGCCCACAGGCGGCACGAATGAGAGTCCATCGAGCCATCGCTGGCGGCGGAGTAGATCTAACAAGCAGCGCAGAGTCCACGGGGCAGCAACAACGGCGTGTGGCGGTAAGGGCACGTGGCCAAAAGGGCCCGGGCCGCAATAGGGCGTGACCCGTCAACAGAACGCGTCGGCCTTCGAGTAGCGGTGAGGACTTCTACGCAGAGAGATAAGGCAGCGTTCCAAAGAACGCTTGCAACTATGCTCCAGCTTCTCAACACCTCCCTTCGGCTGAACCCCGGTTCGGTCGCGTCAATTCTCGACAACAGCCTTTACGTTGCCACTCCGGGAGCAAATATCTCGTTTGAGCGAACGAGAGCGCGATCGGAGCACGGCTCCAGCCAACGAGCTGCGGGAAAGGTGAATTGAATGGCGCAGCAACACTCATGGAAATCAAGGGTATTGGAGACCCCACGGTGATAGGATACTTTTCGTTCTCGCTCCACTCCCGACATGGAGAGAGCACACCGGCGGCGGAGGGTTAGAGAGGAGTAATGGGATCAGGCACCCGCTGCATCTCACCGCATCGCCAGGCGCCAAGACCTCCGGCTTGATGCGGGAATCAGAGGTGGGTCCGTACGAGCTGAACACTGCCACTGTGTCTATGCCCAAGCCTGGAGTGGCGGACAAGCGGGTGTCACCGGACGTCGACGCCCCGACCGCAAGAACGTTCTTGGCGATGGCGGGGCTACTCATCGTACACGTCGACCGCCGTCGCTCGCCGTCATTGCCTTCAGAGAGAGTTCGCAGGCGTCAATGTCGCGGTGAAGCTTACAGCGGCTTCACATCCCCCTTGCTTGCTAGTACCTCCGCAGCCGCTGTGGCATCTTGGCATTTTTCAGTGTTTGGGCGGAGTAACACTTGTGACGCCGTCATGCGTACGCGCCTGTGCCCCAGCTGCGATTCCCGTCTCTATATGTGTCGACGCACCAGAGGAATAACAATTCCAATTCGTAGGTTCTAGGCGCGGCTGACACCACCAGAACTTTCGGTGGAGGAGACAACGACATACGGAATTGAGTGGCGTGGGCGCAAATGCAATCCTACGATTGAGTACAAGAGTTCTCGTGAAAACAATCATTAGGACCGTTTGTATCACCCTTTTTCTTTTTCTCACCTGCAGCAAAAATCAAGAGGTTCTCCGGATTCGAAACCATCCATCCGTCGTACAGCACATCGTTCGGTCCCAACGAGCACTGGATGTGCCGGGGTGTGTGGGGTCCAGTCAGGAAAAGCGGTGGGGGGGGGGGCATTGTAAGAAAATATTTGTGTTTTTCGCGTGTGCACCTCTAGCGTGTGTTTGCGAAATAGCACTGGCCATCAATTTGCCGCCGTCGACGCCCTTCGGCACCAAGAGATGGCTCCCACCGTCGTGTCCTTGTTGAACGCCGACAAACGCATCAAGAACGGAAGACGGGAAACAAGAGCTGGAGTCGCACATATACGCGCGACGACTGGCAATAATTATGTGCATTCGACCCACTGTCTACTTCATCTTTCTCTGAGCCGCTCAGGAAAGGACGGCGCGGGGCACGGGGATATGTAGGCAGGCCGGGGTAAGAGGTGGGAATAACGACGGTGGGTGCTACTGCCGGCGTGCGCTCCTGAAGGAGCAATCAATGCTGTGTTTGGTAAATAGGTCGTCGTTATCAACAACGTCAAGCGAGCGACCCTACGCTTGGATTGTCGGATAGATCAACGAAACGCACACATCGACGACAACAGCTGAAAAAAACAAGCACGAAGGCAAACCGGCAACAGATCGTCACATCAGGACCCGTCACTTCGAGCGAGCAAAAAAATAACGAAAATCAACACTCAACGCTAGAAACGCCATTCGCAGCACTCTTACACACGGAATACCTCGAAATCTCCCCCATAGCTATTGGAATGGATCTTGCAGTCAGCCTCCGCGCACGGCTCCCACAAGCCGTTCCCGACAAAGGGGGACAGACCGAAATTGTCGTAGAACGCATCGAAAATTGCGAGTTTCGCGCCCTGAGCCATGCCTCCGTTGTTCGTGAGGGTCTCAGCGACATCGTCACTCAAGCACTTTTCCGTCTCAAGCACGTCACAGTCATAGTCAGAGAACAGCGGGCAAAGCCTGTCAAGATCTACGATCTCGACGTTGGGCGTGGCGAGGTCATCCACGTCATTCGCCTCGTCGTCATCGACGCAAGCACCCACGCAGCTCATCGTCTCCGTATCCTTGCACGAAATCAGCTCTGCCGGGGTGTTCAGCGTAGCCCCCGCAACCGATCCGGCGACGTGAGTGCCATGGCCGGCCTGGGGAGGAAAGGCAGGGTGCACCACGTACGTTCCTTGTTAGCTCCACCAAAACTCCATACCTCGACCAAACTCGATGCCAAGGGGCTCAAACCGCGCACACGAGCGATGCAACCGCTTGTGCCAACAACGCACATGGCGAGGAGGACCTGATACGCGGATGATTCGCCACACCTACTGCATGGGAAACCCCTAATGAGAAAAGGAAGCGCGGATTCCACCGCTCCGTCCGCACCTCATAGTCATACTCGAAGCGATCTGCGGGAAGCCAGGGATACTGCTGCCCAAGAGAGGTGGTGAAAGAATCGCCGTGTGACCCCTCGGTGTCGTCTGACTTGATCAGATTGATGTACTGGATGATCTGGCCGAGTCAGAAACGAACCACGAGCGAGGGAAGGAGGGGTGCGGAGCAAACGTTGCCCGTGATTTGAGCACCAAGAAAAAAACGTGCGTATGAGGATGAGGGTGCCCTGCTGATGAGGTTGGGACGACGATCGCACACGCACGTGATCACCTCGACACGCTGAGCCATCCGCCCTTTGAGACTGCGTAAACGGAACTGAACCCTGCATCTGCACCACACAACAAAGAATCAGAGTGCAGGAGGCACATTTCAGTGGTCGAAAGACGCGAAGAGACCCGTCATCAGCGCGCACACACACCGGTCTTACAAACCTTGCGTCTATCGGGGAAGATGGTGAAATCCCCACCGTCGAATTCTTCCGCGATCTGGTAGTACGAGCCTGTGCGGTGGTCGTCGGTGGCCCGCGGCCACCCCAGCGAGTCGTCGTCGTCACTTGTAGGCGAGGAGAAGGAGGAGGAGGTCAGGGGCGGGTTGATTCCCCACTCCTCGAAATAGTGCCCGTGGGGTACGTGGTCGCCGCTCTCGTCGTGAGCAAAAAAGCACGAAGACTCATCGACCCCTGAGTCGATCACCTGGGTTGGGGTCCGCACGCACGTGGGGTTGGAGAGTAACAGGTGGGAGCGGGGGACGCCGGGGCAGTGCGGTTGCAACCCCGCTCGCTCACAGCTGGGGGGGTGAAAGTGTGTGTGACTTTTCAAGGCTTGGATCGGACACGACTTCCTGACTCCTGTTGGGTAGCCCGCCCAGTGGTCGAAGGCTGGATGAAGAGTACGCACCTCTGGAATCGGGGACGTGGTGACAAGTACACACCCTTTTCCCCACAGAGCTAGCTCCGGATGCGGCGGAACGATACTTTTTGTTGCGCGGACACACCTGGACGACCTGGCCCGTTCCATCTAACCCTGCGTCCGTGAGCGGCGTATCTGTCACCGTGGCACTTTGGATGTTGGCCCGCGCGGACGCGTTCAGCAGTGCTTGTGATTGCCTGGGGGCAACTCTTAGAACCTCCGGCTTGCTCGCGAGGAAGGACACGAGTCCCATGAAACAGGCAATATGCAATTCGGCTGATTCCCCTCCGTCGCTTCGTCCTCCCGCGCCCCTACCGGAGTGCAGGAGGTGGTCCAGGCCTGGGGACGAAAAAGGGAAGCACAGCAAGTAGTGACACAGCCGTGCCGACCATTTTGCAGAGGCATGCACCAATACATGTGAGCGGCCGCAGCAGTGTAGCTATACATGTTTTCTCTCAACGCCCAACAAAAGAGCGGGTTGCGTCAACGTAGTGGGAGAAAACTTTACGGTGGTGGTGGCCACCTGCAACAAAGGTAACAAACAAGCGTGCTACATACCACCGTGAGACCCAGAGACAAGAATTCACGGCTGGAGATTAGACAAAGCAAGCAGAGGAGTCAGAAACGCCGACGCAGAAACATAACAAGTCAAGCAAAGAAAGAGTTCACAAGCGTCTCGGGCGAAATCAACGCATAGAGCAAGGCAAAAATCACTCGGTTGGCGCCGCGATGCAGATACGATGAAGTAAACACCAATCCAGGCACCATGCCAAACACGATATGATGCCATTTTCCTTCGCTCAGGAACGAGTGCCAGGCATGTACGAGGAGCACGCGAACATTCCATACACAGCATCAGTAGCAATATTTTTGCGGGCGTGGAGGAAAGTGTAGGACTTGCACAATCAAGAGCTTCCTTTTTTATTCGTTGTTCTTGGCAGGCAAGCGGTATCTCACCCGCGCGCCCCCTTTGCACACGTGGTACCAGGCACGGTGTGCTAACATACACCCTCGTTACCACACCCCTCGGTCCCTCCGACATGTGCGGCAGTGGTATCGCACCCCCTGCATATCACACCCCCTCCATGGCTCCCGCGACCAGCACAATATCGCCCGGGCCACACAACATACATGACACCCTCCACACTCGCACCATACAACACCCAGTGATGAGTCAAAAGTTTCATCCTAGTGTTGCGTTATCTTGTTTGATACGGTCTGCGCTTCGCACTTGCGAAGTTTTGGTACTCCGGGGAGAGTCAAAAACTTTTTTGCCGCAAAAGGTTCAGCAGTACGTATCGACCCTATACATGAACCCCATAAAACGTACATACACCGCACCATGGCCTCCAAATCTCGGAATCTCAGCATTTATTTTTTCAATACACAGTTTCGGACTGGGGCTCCAAATATTCCGGTTAAGGAAGCAGATTTTGAGATAAGAAAGTTTCCTGGAAACGTCGTGCAGGTAATTTGTCAGATTTAAGCAGCTTCATGTGATTGGCTGTGGGTCAACAGTCCTCCCACGAACTTCCCCTGCCCGCAGGTGCTGTTGTTTTTTCGTGGTGCGCTGCGTGACAGCTAGCTGTGCAACTCGCTTGATGAAAAGGGGCTCTCACTGCTGCTGCTGTTGAGTGAGCGTGCGTGCGTGCGTGCGTGCGTGCGCGTGTCCGTGTCTGCATCGCTCCCTCAACCCCATCACAATAAATCGCACCACACCAGTACGGAGACAGGCGGTGATTTTTGCACACTGGCCGAAGACAGCCTCTGAACGAAGTGCTATGTCGCGTTTCAAGCATTCGGGAGAGAGACGGGGGGGTTGGGACCGGGAGGCACATCCGAGTCAAACGCTCTTCTTTCTAGTAGACACCAGAGAAAATACTCTTGCGCGCGGAAGGACGCGCCCGCCTTCACCAGGAGGTCACTACGTGCTCTTCCTCCTCTCTGCTCTTCTTCATTGCTGGCGGCGTTGCCATTCACCCCCCTTGCCTCAATCTGACCGGCGTGTTACTGACCTCAAGCCAGCCGGAAACAAACCTAACTTTCTGACCGTGCAGCCTCCCTGTTTTTGTGTTGGTGGCGCGCCAACTCCAAGGCCTTTCGCTGGGCGCTGGCCTTCTCCTTGGCCGCGCTGACATACTCTCAGCAGACTGCTGTGTGTGCGTGCGGTGGTGCGTGTGATGTGTTACTTCGAAGAAAGTTGCTAAATCGACAAATCGTGATAAATATCCTGAAAAAAANTGGTGGCGCGCCAACTCCAAGGCCTTTCGCTGGGCGCTGGCCTTCTCCTTGGCCGCGCTGACATACTCTCAGCAGACTGCTGTGTGTGCGTGCGGTGGTGCGTGTGATGTGTTACTTCGAAGAAAGTTGCTAAATCGACAAATCGTGATAAATATCCTGAAAAAAATTCCACAAACCAAGCCTCCCTCGGCTCTTAAATCTGTAATTTTTTTCCTTGTTGTGGGTTCTGGCGAGACTGTCAGGAGCGATCCTCAGAACGACGTTGTTTCCTTATTTCGGAAAAATTATGAGTCCGAAACTGTCAAATTTGGGATTTTTTACATGTTGACACACCTGACACCAATAGCACGTCGCCTTCGGCATGGTGCACAGAAACCCTATTCCATGAGCAGATATCTCCAGGGCTCGTGCCTGCTGCCTCGCTGAGCTCGTGCACAACACTGGCTGCTTTGCTCCAATCTCTCGCTCGTACAGCGCCCCCAGGAAAAGAGAGCTGTTCTCCCCCGCCCATATTTTGATCAGACCAAAAGTTGGTCGAGTGCAAGTCTACCGATGCTAACATCAGATCCCCGAGCGTATCGCTGATAAAAGCCTCGGCCTCCACAGATCGTGAGGCCAAAGTACCAGGCGTGAGCTCGATGCTCAAGCCTTCCACATTCGACATGCGCATCCGTGCGCCATGTCTCGCACTCAGTCTGTCCAGCCCTGTTGTCGTTTCCTTATCTTTGTCATGCCTTTGGCTGTGGTCGACGAGCCCCGGTGCAAGTTTCAACGCTGACGGAAAAGGCGAAAAGCTTTCCAACCCGAACTGCTCCTGGTCCTCTATTATCGCGGACGCTTGAGCATGGGAAGCTGATGCGAAGAAACAAGCCCCGAGGTCTTCAGAGTGAGACACCACCCGCACCGCCTCGGGCGACAGGAACTGCTTCAGCCGCGAGAAAGTCTCGCGTCCGTGTCCGTACTCGGCACAACATAGGTGCGGCGCACGGGTTTCGTCTTGTCTGTGACGGAGTCTCTCTCCGTTCCAAGTTGCGGCGGCCTCGAACGCCCTTGCATGGCCGTTGAAATCGTCCTTCGCAGTTGTTGAGAGCGCATTCTCCACTAGCTCTAGCGAAGGGTAGGGCAAGCTCTTTCCCGGCCATCCTACAGAAGCACCGGCCCACGTGCGGGCTGACGGCGTCAAGAGAATGATCTTCAGCACCATCACATATACGTTGTACATCATGGACTAGGTGGCTCGTTTGCTTGCCTCACGTCCTTTCTCTCTTTTCAGGATGTCCCCCAGAGTTGTTGGTGAGCTGTGTCAGATGTGCCAGCCCGCAGAACCGAGGTGTAGCGCACAACATTTGAATGCAGAACAGAAACGAGCGAACTCAGGAGAGACGCGGCGTGTTTTTCAAGCATCAAGAAAATTTCCCAGAACCTCCGGTCCTCCGTTAGACTGCTGTAGAGTTCGAACATAAAAAACACGCACACAAAGCGGCACAACGGTATTTCGCGGTGTCAGGTGTCAGGTGTCAGGTGTCAGGGCTTCAATCTCTCACCCAGGAGTTCATTCCGGGAGGGAGCTCTGGTAGTATGGCCGTCACCAGATGGTGAAGAAACAGAACAGACAGAGAACAGCAGTAGCATAGATATAACTTGAACTTCATCTGCACCTGTAGCCATTCGGCTACCCTGCCAGGGTGGGGAGATTTCACCCTGTCAAGGTCACCCTGGAAGACTACGCTGCAGGCTTGACCCAATGGCAGGGTGGGTACCCTGCCAGGGTACTGATCCCACACCCTGTACGTACCCTGCCACTCAGGGACCCTGGCGGGGTGCACACCCTGGGAAAACCCTGTGGAGACCGTGTCAGCCAAGAGGTACTGACGGGGCCGAAAATTAGGATATTTTCCTTTCGATAATTGTTTGGTTATTTTCTCTTTGTATTTTTGTTTCATTTTTTTTTTTTCCTTGTCGTCCCTTACAGCAGCATGTACGGTAGTGCTCCTAGACGTACAAACACGCTCAAGCTCATCCACACCATATATGTCGCCTTTTGACACCCCCCCGCCCCCCGCCCTGATCCGTGCCTTTCCTTGCTTCCCCCTCCGTAACATGTACAACTCCGGCGCGTCAATTCCATCAACAAACAACGTACCGCATGATACTGCTACTATCAGGGGACCCTATATATACCTCCCCTACAGGGTACATGATGACGTCACCGATTGCACGTACAGAGGCCGAACGCTGCACGCAATATATAACGCTTCTTCGACATAACACGAACGAACACGCTCTATGTGCCCAGCACCAGCTGGCAATGAATGCCAAACCTTCTCCCCCAAATTATCTGATTCCATCGTAAAAAGATAAAAATCTATAAAACTGCGACGAAGAATTATTCTTTCGATGGAACAATTAAAAACCAACGCGATGAAATTCTCTCGATGGAAAAAATTAAAAGCAAAAGAAATTGAAGGACTCTTTGAGTAACTTACCACCCAAGAAAAACTGCCACGATGAATTTTCTCTCGATGGAATAAATTATAAAAAGAAAGTTGAAGGACTCTAACTAACTTACCACCGCGATGAATTTTCTCCTGATGGAATAAATTAAAACAAAAAAAATCGAAGGACTCTGAGTAACTTAAACCCAATAAACACTGCCACNGTTGAAGGACTCTAACTAACTTACCACCGCGATGAATTTTCTCTTGATGGAATAAATTAAAACAAAAAAAATCGAAGGACTCTGAGTAACTCAAACCCAATAAACACTGCCACGATGAATATTCTCTTGAGATGGAATAAACTGAAAACCAAAAAAAATTGAGGTACTGTGTGAGAAACTACAACATCGGGAAAAACTGCCCCGAAGACTTTTCCTTCGATGGACCATGCATGAGATACGGAAATATCAAGACGCGAGGCTCGAGCCATACCAATCTCGATGCAGCGACGACAGCTACCCACGTGCACCACTCCCATCACACTAATGTAATTATCCATCCAATTGTGGTGGTATACACGCGTGATGAAGTCTGGTTGACCCGTGGAGAAGAACTCACTTGTTATTACTCTTGCAGAATAGCAGCAGCAGTAGCTGTTGCCTTGGGTATCGGTAGGTTTTAACGTGTACCAGTGGTAAGGTTTATGAAACACGGATTCGTAGCTCACAGCCGGCCCACGCCAACACCTCCCGCAAATGGTGGAGGTTTCATGACAAGATGGATGCACCGATGCTATTCGAAACGCACTCTCCATGGGCACCTGCCATATACCATCAACACGGCCATGGCCCCGCCCCTCGCACGCAAAACATTAAAACATGTCGTTGAGGTATGCTTCAAGATCATCATCCTGGACGTAAACGTCTGCCGCCGGGGTCTCCGGCACAACGAGGCTGTCCTTCTCGACGTAGTAGGGGGCGAGGAAGCGCATGATCTCCGGCTTGTGGAAGTCGGAGCTGGGGATGGTAGGGATCGCCGCCGTGCAGCATCGCGGTCCAGTCATGAACTGGAACAAGTTGTACCATAGGCTGGGCCGGGCCGTCGTGGGGAAGAGGGGGGGTGCGCACCGATTCGGATCAGTTGTTTGTCGCTCCACCTGTGTGCTACACATGGTCATCAACAGCCATCATGAAGAGTAAAAGTTTCTTCTAATATGAAGACCGCCATCCAAATCACGTATGGTACGGATAGAAAATATTATTGTCGCAACCATAACGGAGGTTAAGTCTATCTTTTCTGTGGGAGACGCTAACGTACCCTAATACTACTGTAACTCCGGGAATGCAGGTCATTGGGATCATCGTTTACCTCTCTCGGAAGGCCCGGGCGTTGGCGGAACCAAAGCCGCCGGCAGATAGCTTGATCCAGGCTCTCGACTTCCGAGTGACCTTGCAGACAATTGTCTCGTGGGTGCCGATCTCGTTGACCGGAAGGGCCGCGATGTCGTTAGCTGCGTGCAGCAATGCGGGAGTGACAACCTGATGTGCAATTGATGACAGAGGATGAGGGGGAAGACAAAAGAAGGGTGTCATCAAGAGGACGAGGGNTGGGTGCCGATCTCGTTGACCGGAAGGGCCGCGATGTCGTTAGCTGCGTGCAGCAATGCGGGAGTGACAACCTGATGTGCAATTGAGGGTCATCAAGAGGATGAGGGGGAAGACAAAACAAGGTTGTCATCAAGAGGACGAGGGGAAAGACGAAACCAGAGCCCACAAAAAAAATGGGAAGTCCTTCAACTTGCTACCGCTCGCCCGCGCTACCGGAGGCATATAATGTGGGCTCTAGTCCTGGAATACGATGACCTGTTCGGGTTGCAGGCACATGCTACCAGCCTGCGTCGCGTTAACAAATAAACGGGCGCTAGGTCTACAGACGAGTAGGAGTGCACGCAACAATTTCGTCACCTGTCCAAGGAAGTCTTCCTTCAGTCTCTCCGGTCCCAAGAGGTACCCCAAGCTGAGGGCCTTGCGGGTGGAAGCTTGGTGCGCCTTGGTAAAGCGCCACATGATGCGGGACATCAGGCCAGTTAGTTCCTGGGAAGGTCGAGTTCACACAATTAGTAGGGAAAAGGGGTTAGTTGTGTACGGGATAAAAAAGACAATACGTTTTACTACCCTTCTCATGATAAAAGAAACCACTCACCACGTCGGGGCTGATGAGCTGCAGCAATAGGCCCAACAGCGCGGCCTTCGCCGCCTTGGGCACCAGCGCAGTGTCAAGCGCGTCGAAGAGGTTTTGTCCGGACATCTCCATGTTGATGGTTGATTCCCCGCCAATGCCCGTCTCGTGGCACTCCTCGCTGTTGTGGCGCTCTTGAACAGAGCGCTTACCCAGGGTGCGGAAGGTCGTGGTGCTCGCCCCGGTCGAAGTGAAACCACCGCCCGTGGGACCACCGGACCTGGTAGCGCCACTGTGTGATGTACCAGAAGCTGAACTCTCGATACCGTTGATGCCAGTCGACACACGTCTGGATTTAGCCTGGTGTCTTCCTGCGCTCTGATCCGACGACACAATGACACACCACTGGTTGACCCGCCACCTTCCGAAGAACCAGCGCCAGGCCACCCGGAGGGGGCACCGCCCGAGGCACTGCCAGAGCCGCGGCCGCCGAGTAGACCGGATAGTCGACCGCCGCCGCCCACGGACGACGCGCGGCCCATGCCCTATAGCAGCACGGCCGAACCCTGTTATGCTGTGCAAGTTGTGAACGGGACTGTCACTTTCCACCCCCAGCAGCGAGCACCATTTATCGCGTGCATCTTCAAAAAAAAAACGGCCGTGTTCGGTGTCCAGCAGTAGATTGCTGGACCATCGGTATAATAATGCTGGGGCTGTACCCTAGAGGCTAAACACACCTTACAAGACTAAATGTATCGTAGAAATGACTGGTACAACCCTGGTTGTGTCGACACCCTGGAAGAGGGTTCCTGCCCGTGGACCCTGTGGGGACCGATTACCTAGACAGGTGGTCACAGCGTCCGTACAGGGTCTATTTGCCTGCAGGGTTCACAAAGGGGTAGCCGAATGGCTACAGGTGTGACTCTGGAGCACAACGGCCGTCGTGCGTGACCCACCCGGTACACTTACAACGTTAACCCGAGGACAGCATATATATGTATGTAGACAGCGGTCATGAGTAGAAGTAGCCCACAAGAGGTACGAAACAAGCCCTGAGGTGTCGTTTTTCCTGACGCCCTGCTTGGATACTCTCGGCCAGAGTAACGGTGACGGAAAGACTCGTGCGAGACCTGAGACGCTGAAACATTCTGCAGGATGTGGGTGACGAGTGATGAAGCGAAAAAAACATTGGATGGATAGCAACGCGCGCGGGGAGTTGCCCTCCACGGAAGTGAAAGTTTCGGGGCATTCGAACCCAACGACTTTGTAACTTTCATAGCAGCTTACAGCAGTGGAGAAGACTACGTACAGTCGTCCTCCGGGCCGACTGCTGCGTATTCTAATGGGTTGATTGGGGCTCTCCAGAACGGCGTAACACCATCAGTAGTCTTCCTGCGTCGTGCAAGGCCGCCGAGGCTACATTCCGCGTTTAGCGAGGGCGCCTCCACGCCCTTGCCACGGTGCGTAACTGCATGCGGCACTCCG